GGACGTCAACGATGTCTGATCGCACTACTTCCCAACAACCCTTATAGAATGAGAAAGAGAATCCATCGGGTCCTGGAGCCTTATCGTCGTTCATACTAAACACCACCTCCTTAATTTCATCCTCCCCAAATGGTCTTTCTAACCAACTAACATCCTCCTCATCAATAGTTGAAAAGTCTAACCCCTCCAGTTCAGGCCTCCAATCCGACTGCTCACTATACAGGGACTGATAAAATCTTACCATATGGACCCCGATATCATTTGGATCCTCATAAGTAACTCCATCAACCTCCAACATAGTAATTAGATTATTGCGCCTATTGGAGTTAGCTACCTTATGGAAAAATTGGGTGCATCTGACTCCCTCTTTCAACCACGTGACCCTAGATTTCGTGCGCCAAGCAATCTCCTCCATCTCCACCAACTTCATTAGCTCTTCCCTTAATACACCACGTCTGTCATTCTCCTCCCCATCTAACCCTCGACTCTCCTCAAGGTTATCCAGCTCGTCTATGTCCGAAAGACATTGGACCTTACGGAAGTTCACGTTTCCCACAACCTCCTCATTCCACCTTTTTAAATCCCTTTTTAATGCCCTCAACTTCTGATATACCACATAACTGGGAGACTCCAGGAAATCATAAGCCCACCAAGTCCGTACAAGCTCCCCAAAGCCTTCCACTTTTAACCACATCTTCTCAAACCTAAAAGGCCTTATTCCACTACCCCTAGTACTCCCAGCTAACAAAATAGGGAAATGATCAGAGTACACCCTCCCCAATCTTCTCTGAATAATATCCGAGTACCTAGCCTCCTCTTCGCTAACCAAAAACCGGTCTATACGAGATAGGACAGGTTGATCTCGATTAGAGGACCAAGTAAAGTCTCCCCCAATAATAGGCATAACCACCAACAAATTCTTCCTAATAAAATCTGAAAATTCCTCCATAGCCTCAGTTAGTCTCCCACCACTCGACCCTTGAGTGGGAAATTGAACTACGTTAAAATCACCCCCAATGCACGTTGGGAGATTCCACCAAGCTATCATACCAGTCAACTCATCCCACAAACCCCCTCTACTCTCAGCAGAATTAGGTCCATAAACTCCTATAAACATCCAATGAAATCCATCCTCAATATTTCTAAACGAGAGCAACAACGAGTATGTCCCAACACTAACATCCTCTATATCATACACTCTAGTATCCCACATGATTAGCATGCCTCCTGATGCCCCCAATGACCCCAAAAATTGATATCCAACATATTGTTTTCCCTATAAGCTACTGACCACAACCCTCGAGATGAACTCAAATTTAGTTTCTTACAAACAAACAAGGTTCGCCCTCTACCCCCTTAACAAATTTCGAACACGTAACATTTTCTCAACCTCATTAAGCCCCCTCACATTCCAGCTAAGAAGTTTTAGGGTCATTTTAACACTCCGTCATCCCTCCCCAGCAATCTTTTCCTTGACTCGCCGCCCTTAGCATCATAATTTACTGACCATTCAAGCCGCTTAAGTTCGCGGACACCATTCATTCTTGATTTGCCTCCTTATGTACTCATCCCCTGCCCCCTACTAGCCTCCAGTTCCTCAAATAATTGCATGAGTCTACTTTCATATCCATTGCAAGACACGCCAACCAACTTACTGAGCTCCTGAATATTTTGAAAGACCCAATTTGAAGGTTGGGGTCCAACTTCAATCGCATTCACCATCATTGTTTCCTCTGCAAGACAACGCTCCAAAAGGTCATACGAATATCCCTCCGCTTCCTCCACATGTACATCATTGTTAATCCCCCCTTCTGGCCGCCTTTTACCCACAACATCAAAGATTTTTCAGTCCCTAATTCTTTTTCTTTTAGGGACTTAACGTGCCTTCTGTTATGTGTTCCCAACCATAATTGCCGTACGCACCGCATCATGCTCTTTCAGGACTATCGAAGCTGATTTCTTTACCAATACATGTGCCATCTCTTGCTCAACTGGGAGCAATCCCTCTGTCTCCGAATTCGTGTCCATCGCGTCCAATGTAGCCGACTCCAGGTTCACCATTTTCAACTCCCCTTCCTTAGACCAGGGGACCACCTTTCGATTTGCTGCGAACCTCGAAACTTTCTCATCCGTATCCAACTCCACCACTTCAACCCCATCATCATTTCCGGAGTATACTGCTTCAATCCGTGCCTGATACTCGTAATTAAGCTTAGTCATTCCCTACTTGTCTTTAAAATGGGCTGCATTCGGTGATAACTCCTTAGGAACCAAGCTCACTATTTGTTTTTCGTTAGCTAGAGACTCATCCACGCCAACCCTACATTGATGACAATAAAATGTCCTGGGGCTTGCCTCAGACCCACATCCCACTAGCCTGATTAAATCATCCAACTCTTTTCAACGCCTGGACGCGGGCCCTTATTTCAGCACTGTTCATTATTCCACCCTGTGAACTTTCTGCATGTATCTCCATAGGCTTAGGCACCTCAAGATGATCGTCAAACTCCCTCACATTATACATCCTGTCATTTCGCACTATCCCCCGTTGGTCAACTTCATGCGATGTTCGTAAGTTTGCCGTAACTTCGGCATAAGTCATCCTTTGTCGATTTCTAGCATCCATCGTTCGACGTTTAGCCTTATCTTCAGCAACAAATGAATCGACAACAGCCTTAAACACCCTCGAAAACGATGCCCATCCCTCTCCATTCACACCTTCCAGCACCATCATAGCTCTCATCCGACGCCTTCGTCCATATTGTGTTGTCGTCCAGTACCTACCACGGCTGTCCGCACAACGTTGTGCCAAAAAAGCCCGTGATGACTCGTTAAACTTGAAGACAAAATCCTCCAACTTACTAGCCACTCTCAACTTATCCACTATATTCACCATCCGTAGTGCACCAAACCTCCCCATATAGATTGCAGTCGACATCCTCGAGCCCCACTCTATTATCCTAACAGTACTTGATTCGTTAACAGACACCTCAAACTCCTTCGTCTCAACTCTAAATCGCCGATTGAATACCATACCATATGCATCCGCCCGCTTTTTCCTTTGATTGTGTAGAATCGGCAAATCTGATGACAAAATAGGCCTGCTGAGGACTCTGGGAATGCCATGCTAATTTTTTGATTTTTCAACGGCGGCTCATGGGCTACACCCGCCGACAGGTTCGCCTCCGGAGCGGCACGTGGTCCACGCACTAGTCCCTCCGGCGTCGAAAGAGTCTACCTAGAGTGTCGGTCAAGCACGCTTGCCGGAGAAATGGCCGAATTCTGATAAATCAGGGTTTGGGTCCCAGATCGCTCCACTGTATTCCTTCCACCAAGGTTGCCGTCGCCAGAGGTCCCCGCATCAGCCCAGGCCGTCTCGCCGTTGGTCGCTGCACCAGTTTGAGCGGCGGTGCTAGGGTTTCCACCTAGGGCCGCTGCCTGTGAGTGTGGATAGGTATGTGGCGTGAGGCCGGTAGGGCTGGGTTTGCCAATCAATACCTTATTGTCGTCACCGACATCGACCAGAGTAGGTGGTTGTTGGGTGGTAGGTGGCTGGGTAAGTGGTGGTTGGGTATTTTTGGATAAAAAAATCTGGATTGCAAAAGAGGTCAACTTAGCATTGTATGGTAAGTAATAGGCCGAGACTTGCAACTTCCTAAATACAAGAGATACATCAAAGATTTCCAACAGCCTAAATTGAAGTCTAAGAATTCTATTTATGTCCTTTGAAGATTTTGTTTTCTTAAAAATAACTCTTCACATATAAATCTCGGGCTATTTTCATAGAAGATAAACAAGTAAGCGGATCTGAAACAGCAATTTAAAAAACTTATCATGTAAAGCAGATCTCCAATGTGCTCAGGCAAAATGTGCAACATATAAATCTCGTGTGATTTTCATAGAAGATAGCAAGTATGCGGATCTGAAACAAAAACTTTAAAACTTAATTAAGATTATCATACTCTTCTTCCCCAGAAGAATCAACTGATTCTGTTGAAGACGTTTTTCTGGACTGCAAGAAGAAAACAATCCTTGCATCAGATTCACATAAATGGAACATAAGAATACAAATGTGAGAAATCAAATCCAGTTACATGATCAATCCCCTACCCCCACCCCACCTTCCACCAGAGCCACGGGAGGAAAGAAGAAAACAGTGTTTTACAAACAAAAAACTTGACATGATGTTTGCTCGGTATAGTAATTATCCTGTTTTCATGCAATCAATGTTATATTATATCAGAGTTCTGTCATCCCTCGTTCTGGAAACAGAACCAAAACTCAAAGAACTTTTCAAGGGGCTTCCATATGATAAAATAGAAACTCAATCCATCACCATATGCAAATAGATAAAGCAACCTAGTTATGAGGAACATCATTGTGTGAGTTAGAGGCTCCAAATGGAGGAAGAGGGAAATATTATAATTCATAAACAAGGTTAATTAAAGTTTAGAAAACTAACATACATCGTATGTGTTTGAGCGCACGTGTATAATAAGGACGGACCAACTCCTATAGGGGGTGTTTGATTTGCAGACTAACACAAACTCAATAACATAATTAACAATCAGGCTGCATCTTTGGTTATAAACAAGGTTCCATAAAAGGGAAGGTTTGGTAAAAGCTAATAATAAGTTGAGCCCAAATATAGGCATCTAAAGTTGGCGATTTGATTACTTTACACTGACAATAGGATCCATTTTCAGTTCAGTTATGCACACTTTAAAAAAAGTATTAAGTCTCTTGGGTTTGTGATAAGGTTGATTTCTTTATGGTAAGGATTAAGTCCCCCACCCCTTACTCTGGCTGTCTTAGATATGAAAGATTTCCTTAAGCCGAAAAGCTCGTGACCTAAATAAAAGGAAGGGAAGAACTCACATTTTTTCTTCCCCAAAATGTTGATCTCTGGACACTCAGATTGGAATTTGTATGTTTGGCGGTTGGCTTCTCAACCAATGACTCAGGTGCTTGAGTTGATAGATTTTTCTCTTGATCCATAGATGACAAAATTTCCCCCATAGATCGTTGGGACTCATTACCAATTAATTCGATCGAAGCATTTATCGGATTTTCACCTGGCTTCTTCTGTTGGTCTAACTGCTCGTTAACCAAAGAATTTGAATCTCTAAAATGTTTACGGTCTATAATTGGATTTGATTTTGTTGCTGAAGTATGACTATCCATGGGAGATCCGACGTCTGAATCATCATTTCCAATTGCCTGGTATTACCAAATGCAAGACAATAGCAACCTTGGTAAATTATTTTAGAACGATATTCAAATCATTGAAGTAACTGGAACCGATATATAGGAAATATAACCCACAATAATTGGAAGAATTCATTCACCATTGTTGCGGAACAAGGAAAATGTAAACCAATCACCATTAATCAATTTGTCACACTAGGAAAAAAATTGTCATTTTGGCGCAACGTGTCCTTGGCTGACAAATTTCTCAGTTACCAAATCTTAATTACCCAACCAAAAACGTAAGTATTTGAGATGCGGAAATGACACTCCATGAATCATATTTATCCTAAAAACGTGTTTTATTTCAGCAAAAATGTCTACTTCAAAAAATGAAAAATTTAAAAGGAAAAAGGATTATCATAGATTTCTAGGCAAGTTTAACCTATTACACTCTCTTACAAGGAGAAGTATATGAAGATGAACGAAGCATACACGTAGAAAGTGAGAGAGATAACCTTATAGTCGTAAAGATCGCTGGCTGCAGAACCACTGCTTTCACTTAACTTGCCACTGAGTCTACGATAATGGTCATCTTCTGTTTCATGGTCAACTTCATTTTCAACATCATGATAACCATTGTTTTTTAGGTCTATAGTTTCATCATCAGTCGTATCTTCACTCTCGCTATTGTCAGTTTGTGAACTTGCGGATATAGAGCATCTGTGCAGATTATGATCCTGAAAAAAAAAAAAAGCAAGGTAAATGACAAAGCACAATACCAAATAATACTAATTCAAGAAAGGAAACAACATAAACTACAATGTGCTACAGAATGAAGACATAATATTTAGTTTCCTTTTCATTTTTGGTAAGTAACATTTCAGTCTTTGGACGAAAAATTGCATAGAAAGACAACTTAGGCTTAAAAGGCAGTGGTTTCAGATAACAGTTCTTGCCGTGGAGAGATCAGCTACAGAAGCTAAGGTGGGGTTTTTTTTGGGGGAGTAAAAAAATGCATATGTTGATGTTGTCAAGGATATCTACTAGATAGAGAGAATCATCGTGAGGATATTGCAGGAGTTCAATTAGATTCCTGTTAAAACAACATTGCATCAAATGTGTACTTAAGTCCTAATTATGGACGGATTAAAAAAATTCGCTTATTTGTTTGTTCCAATTATTGATCAATTGATTAGGAACATGCAGGATGAGGCTCCATGGTGTAAGCTTCTTGAAAATGATATTATCTTGCTAAGCGAGGTTAAAAGGAAAACTACATTAAATTGTGGAGATGATATCTTAAAACAAAAAGATACAAAACTAGTAGGAGAAAATCTGAGAATACTTGCTCATAAGAAGATGAACAATACTAGTGACATGGTTTTGCATATTCAAAGAAAGTGATTATATATTTCGAATATAAATAGTGATAGACTAGGTATATGTAAGGGAAGTTGTCAGCTAAAATCTAATTGGAATGAGGTCATTAAAAGGGATTTCAATCTTTCCAATTTAACTTTATAGATGTCCACCCTTGATAACGGAGTGGAAAGTCAGCGTAGCTGACACCATATATGGAGTAAGGCTTAGTTTAGTTGAATTAAGAATTTCATAAAAACGTGGATCAATAATTACAAACATAAAACACTTGCAGGTGGAATTCAATGACACTATTCAATCTATTTTAAAAATCGCAGCATAATAACTATATCAATTATCATTAAGGGGAGGCAAACATATTGATGCCATTCAGCTAAATTGAAAATGTTAAAATAGTTTTCAAGAACTACATTAGTTAACCATAACATAGAGAGCTGTACATTTTACAAAGAGATAAGCATCCGAACCATAAGTTGTGAGGCAACTAGAGTAATAGAAAATATACGATGATACAAAGACAGACATGAGAAAAGAGAAGGTGAACGGAGAAAAGACAAGTGAGAGAAATGGCAATGCATGGATACAGCACAAATTGGAACTCATCAATGAATAAGCCAACATAATTCCAAAACCGATAAAGCAACTTACATCAAAAATATTCTCATATTCCTCCAAGAGTGTTGTGATAATGGCTTGGGCATTATTAGCAGCATTTGCAGCAGCAAGAAGCTGAGCAGAATCATCACCATTGATATCAAATTCATCCTCCAGTTCACATTCACCAGCTAAAAGAGGCCGCAAGAGCAAGGGCGCCATACAAGCAGCAACAGCCGATTGAGTCATCCGATTATCAGATGTATGTGAGGAAATTGTATGCATCATCTTAAGAATTCTGCAGATTATACAAGAGATAAATAAAATTTGAGAAAATAACAAAATTTGTGCCTATATGACAAAATAAAATCTAAGACCATGCTTGTGCCTGATTGCAAAGAAATAATGCTTACGTGTCAATGCTTAATGAACACCAATCTTCTAAAAAGTAAAAACAGATAATAGTTAATGCTACCAGCGAGATTGTGTCACTGACCTGCTACAGTGGCTTTGGTGTTTCACGGACAACATAAAACACAATGATGTTCATAAAGCACAAAAAGAAAAAGACCCATTTGACAGACACCACAGATCAGGGACATTCTACCTGAATTCCAATTAACAAATTACCAGTAGAAATTCACATGAGATCAAGTTATCTAGCTTGAACTTGAGGTCCAATCCCCTTATTGATAATCAAGTGCAAGTTGCATCTTAATCTAAGAGATTAAATTTAATTCGCCAGCACTCTCTTTAATCTCAGCTATTGTCAATTTTCCTGAAATATGGAGAGAGTTTTAACAGCACAACTTTTAAAATCGTATTGCAATAGGGAGAGAGTATTTTGAAAAAGAGTCCCAGAATAATCTGAGTACAAATGATAAAAGGCCTCCCTACTGTTCATTATGAGATTGTGCCAGAGATCATGCTACTAATTAAGATTTGGAATCTCTTCTAATATCAGTGATATAGAGAGCATTTCACTTGCAATGATGCAAAAAATTTAACCCTGGAGTGAAACTAAAAGCGTGAGTAAATGGAACAAATAGAAGAGAATATGTACCTCCAAATATAAATCAGACATACATGAGAACACATCATACAAACAAAAGGTGAAATGGGGGGTACCTCTGTAGGAGACGCCTATTGGGTTCGGGAAATGTATCCTGTATTGCAGAGCACATCGCATTCACCTGAGTTTCCTTCCGATCAATTTCTTTTTAGGACAGCAGCGAAGGAGAAATTTGAAATCACTTAAATGTCATGAATCTAAGCCAATGTTTTACAATAAATGCAATCAAGGATAAAAAAAATGGGAGAAATAAATTAAGCTAAAGAAGTAACAGGCTTACTATAGGCTTCCAACAAAGCAGTGCAGCAAGACACAGGGACAGGAGAAGAAGGCAGCTCCCGAAGAACGTGCTGATGGAGAGTTGAATAAAGGATTTAAACGAAAATGAAAACAGAAAAATTATGTATATAATATCCCGGAAATTTCTTATAGTCATTGATGCAAGCTAAGGGACCAAATTGATAACTTTCCATAGTTGAAGAACCAAATGTGCACCTTTTCGAATTTCAAATTTTGGTAAAAATATGAACATGGAATTGCTATGTTTAGGTAAGGAAGAGATTATGGGATTGTCGTATTTAGATTATGGAAAGTAACTTAATTTCTACTTTGATTAAACGTGAATTCAAGTAACTTGTAATAAATTAGGAGGATTTAATTCTTATATATATATATATATATATATTAAGTGCCATATGGGTGAAAGTTATATTAGGAAGATTTATTCCTTGATCTATTTTACCATATATGGACACATCTTCCAAGCTATATAGCTTGTCAAACACATAATACACACACAAAAACATACGAAATTTTGAATTGTAGAACTTAAATTCTCCTGTACATGTTATCCCTTCGAATTGCCAAGGTAAGTGTAGTAGTACGAATTGTATTTTCAATATTTAAATTACAAAAAATTATGAGCCCTGCTATGAGTACAGGGTTTTTTTCACAGAAAACATACAGGAATTTGAAATGAAGGAAAATGATTGAAAGATTGGAGTAGGGAAAAAACACACACAGAGACATGATTCAATTCTAGCAAAAATTCCTGTACTTGAGGAATTTTTCAAAAATTATGGTAAAAATATGATGATACGGAAATCCAAGTAACGATTATGATAGGGATCTTCTATGTGTAAGTTCAAAGTACCATAGTTTAGTAGTGCTACGCATGAGAACTATAGCCACAAAGTTCGAATTTTAATTCCCATGTCTCCATATGTATATTATGATTTTCCGTATTTAAATATGAAATGCAATTCGTTCATTACCTGAGATTTATGTCTCACATGTATATGATAAATCTTTTATAGGTAACTAAAAAGGCGGGCTCGAGGTGGATTGTGCTTGCCTTGGTTAAAAAAGAATAAATTATGTAATTTAAAGATTGTTTAGTAATGTTCATCGTATTTTTCTTTAGACATAATATTTTTACTTCTTAAAGGGGAGCGTTTCTCCAACAAAGATTTTTGACAAATGAATTTGACAAAATATCTCATTCCTGAATGTAAATCAATTTAACGATTAAGATTTATTTTCTTAAAAATATGAAAAAATCCAGAAACTTTCCCCACTCCACACGAACCCACTTATCCCCACTCACCAAGATTTGCCACTCCATCTCCCACTCTCACGTATATAAACTCTGCATATAAATTTATGAAATCATCTCTCTATATATATAAACTCCGTATATAAATTTATCAAAGAAATCATTCAACTTGCTCCCTCAATGTAATAACATTACTCAAGGGAATAGATGGCAGAAAGCCAGTCCGACGCCTACCGGTGTCTATTATGAATTCATTAGTTTAGTTTATGTTCCTTTAAGCGTAATCTAATTACTATTTACTCATCGAAGACAGGGAAGAAAGAAACCATGCTTGTTACATCAACAACAGAAAACTTAACTACGGGGAAAAAAACAATGGAGAAATTATAAGTATAAAGAAAAGGCTAGCTTAATTAGCGGCGGAACAATATGTATGATTTCTTTCATAAATTTATATACGAAGTTTAATACATAAAGAGAGTGGGAGATGGCGTGGCAGAACTTGGTGGGTAGAGGTAAGGGGTATTGGGGGTTGAGGTAGGGTAGGGTGGGGTGGGGTGGGGCAAGTTTCAAATTTTTTTTATATTTTTAAGAAAATAAATCTTAGGGTGTATTTGAACCACATTATTTTGGAAGAATGTATTTTGAAATAGTAGATTGATGGAGAATGTGTGGTTGAAAAAGAAGGAAAAATTATTGATGTGATGGATAATATTATTTTAGTAAAGAATGTGTATTGAAAATGAGTAGAAGAATGAGAATGGAAAATTTAATGTGGCTCAAACAGGGGCTTAGCCTTTAAATTGATTTATATTAAGGGAACAGATTTTTTGTCAAAAATCTTTGTAAGAGGAACGCTACCCTTTCTTAAAATGCAAAGATTTAAAATTAGTTTAAAGAAAAATACGATGAACATTACTAAAAAAAATCCTTAAACTATATAATTTATTCTTCATTTTTCACCCAAGCAAACACAATCTACATCCGATCGCCTCAACCCTGTCTTTTTAATTACCTATAAAAGATTTAATATATACATGTGAGACAAATCTCAGAAAATGAGTAATAACAAATTGCGTCTCATATTTAAATAATAAAAATCATAAAATACATATAGAGACACGAGAATTAAAATCCGAACTTCGTGGTTATAATTTCCATGCGTAGCGCTACTAAACTCCGATTCTTTGAACTTACACATATAGGACCTTATCATAATTGTAACTTGAATTTTCGTATCATCATATTCATAACATAAATTTCTGTAATTTAAATATTGAAAGTAAAATTCGTACTACTACACTTACATTAGTAATTCGAGGGAATAACACGTACGAGAGAATTTAAGTTCTACAACCGACTGATAAATTTCGTATGTTTTTTGTGTGTATTATGTGTTTGATAAGTCTTATATAGTTTGCCCATATATTGTAAAATCGATCAAGGAATAAATCTTTCTCACCATATGAAAGTTAATTTAAATTTACCTGTATGTATATATGTATATATATGTGTGTGTTTGTGTCTATCTATCTATCTATATATCTATATATATATATATAAAGAGAGAATTAAATCCTCCTAATTCATGACAAGTTACCTAAATTCACATTTAATCAAAGTACAAATTAAGTTACGTTCCATAATCTAAATATGGCAATTCCATAATCTCTTCCTTGTGTTTAATCTAAACATGGCAATTTCATGATCATTTCTTTACCAAAATTTGAAATTCTAAAAAGTGCACATTGGGTCCTTCAACTATGAAAAGTTATCAATTTGGTCCCTTAGCTTTCATCAATGACTAGAAAGAAACTTTCCGGATATTATAATGTAAACTACTACAAACCTTAACACAGTCCCCAATAACATGAGCGTCCTCATCTGGACAAAATTCAGTCCTGCCTGCAATCAAGTGGCAATCATATTAGTTTGGATGCCATATCTAATATCACATTCAAGAGAAGAAAAGGACGGAGAAACGTCTACAACTAAACCATAAAATTAGCTATTTGCACTTTCTTATCTTTGTAATGATGTTTATAGAACCTTCAGAAATGAGCCTGAATCCAGAATAACAACCATACCATACTTCTTGCCAAAATAAATCACGATTAAATCTAGTGCAAGGTTTAGGCTGAGTTAAAAAGTTTGTCTTTTTTACTAGTTTCTAAAAATTTAGTCCCTTGACACATGACATGCAAGTGATGTAGAACCAATATCTCTAACTTTAAATCAGCAATGAGTACACAGGTGGGGAATATTTTAGTACGAAAATTTTGGCAATAAAGGTGGAAGAAGAGTTTATATTAGAGACTGGAGATTAGGAAACTTCGGAGTAAAATAAAGCACACGAGAGTATGGAGAAAATAATATTTGTCTGTCTCTTATACATGTTACCAGGCATAGAGAAGAAAACAGTCTTTACCTTTTCTCTTTCTTCCCAACTAGAATAACATCAAACGGTAATAGAAACTAGAAGATGGAGACTGATGAATGAATAAACAACCCATCATTTACCCTCCGCTCTAACAAATCTTCAATGTTCACTACATAATTTATAATAAGAACCTCTTTCCCAACAAAGATCACAATCTCTCACAAGAAGTTAGATTCAGATTTCTACCCATTATTCTGTGAATAAAATCTAAAAATATTAGGAAAATTAAACTGTACCAAAAATATTAATATGAACCGAAATCTAAAGAACTAATGCAATCATTTTAATGCACAAAGAAATCTGACTTCAAGTATATAAATCAATTGCAATCAGTCATTGGTTTGCATAAAGAAAGTACCTTGTTCATATTCTTGAACTCTTCGCTCCACTTCCTCAACATCCGCGGACTGCCTAAGAATTCCTTCAACTTTGACTCCTATTAAAAAAGGAGAAGCTCCCAGTCAGAATATATACATTGAAGAAAGGAAAAGAAAACAAAATGCCCATTTTATTTGTTGTTTTTGGGAGAGAATAAATAGAAAAAATTGTAGTCCTGGATTCAATTTGACTTGGCTTCTTATAATCGTGACTAAATATTCCACCTCATCTTCAGTAAGCTGTCACAAAAATGTATGGTGATTATCATAGACATTAAGAAAAGAAAAAATGAAAAAGTAGCATTGACATGTTTTCCCAAGAAAGCTGTGGTCATTTTGAAATGACCCTGAATCTTAATTGGAGAAATTGTTATCATCATCAAGCATAGGTCGATGTTTAAGAAAGCCAAGAATTTACTCTTAAAAGATAATGAATTCAAATCTCCAAAGTGGACTAATCAAAACAATCATTCCAAGAAAATGGAAAGTAAAAAAGTTTAACCTGGAATAGGATGTAATTGCAATCGGAAAATGCTGAAGACTACTCTTATTACTCTCATTATCCCAGACAGCTGTTGACTCTTTGGTCATTTTGACTTTGATTGACCTTATTCAAATATATTTACTAACACAATTAAGGTTTTCTTGTTAATTAGCTCGATATTTAATGTTCTCTAGTGTAATCAGTTTTACAAATAGCCCCTTGTCATTCAATGACAAGGAAACAGGCAAAGAATTATAAAAGCAATCCATCAGACATTAAAATAGATTTAGATTCGTACCATTTAGAGTTGTTCTCCAGACAAGAATCCAAATTGCAATATGAAAAATTACCGTGTTTCTCGAGAAATCGAAGTGCTTTTTCAAGGAAGGATGGGCCTCCATCTATATCTTCCAATGCAAGCAAAATTGGACGTCCAACAACCAAAGATTTCACTGGGCGCTTATTCCTCCCTGAATCAACCAAAGAGGTGATAGAATGTGATTAAAAAGACAGCCTGGAGCTCAAGGAAATCGGCATTACAAAGCTCAGAGACATAATTTTCTGAAGAACAAGGAAGAAAAGGATAAATAGCATGTACTGACGTTGATGGAAGGATCCTTCAGTTGTATCACTAGTGTCACTCCTAAATATCCCGTTGTGTTCCATCGCAAGCACGGCACTTGGCGCTTGTCCGAGAGCGTGTTCTAGAGCTGTCTTCCACTCGTACAAGTCCTCCAATGTCTCTGCCTGAAATTTCAAAAGAGAAAGAAGAATAGGTTATTAAAAAAAACACAAAAACTAAATGCACGAAGACAGCATTTAAAAAGAAAAAGATCTTTTACGCACTTTAAGAGTAAATGCCCGTCCATCACGTCCATCGGGAAACAAAACGGTTAGCAACTTCTTATCTTCTCGAACTACAACACTGCACAAAAGAATATCCAAGGATATTGCAAAAGAAATTAAGAAACAGATAAACAGTCAACCAGTGAGAAATAGAGGAAAGAGTTAGAGAGAGTCCACAAGTTTGTGTCATTGATTCATACCTCCCTGAATTATTTAAATCAATGCCACCAAGAGTCAGATTTACTTCACCACCTCGCTGTGGAAGTGAGCTCTACAGGAAAACAAAAGTTGTACAGTCATCAAAATATCAAAAGTTCTGTGAGACTGTAATAATGAACCAAATGGCAAATACAAACTGGCCAGAAGTGTGTGCAGTTGCTCTTAACAGGAAAAAAGCAGCAAATGTATCAAATTCACTCTATAAATAAATCAAAGAATAAAAAGAACAAAGGCATAAATGAAATCTAACAGGATCATTCTTGAAGAAAACCAAAGAAGTGTGCGTAAGGATAAACCATCGCTTCTTCCACGACTTCCATCCTAAACCTGTAAGAAGTTTCAGTGGTTAATGAAAATTAAAGACGAGTAAAGTGGAAGTGACATAATTTTACATTTTCGTTAATCAAAATAGCGGGTGGAGAAGGAGTTCCATCTTGTATCACAATGACCATAAGCTCGCACTTATCAGTAGATATAGTGATTCATTAAATGTTTTTCTAATTTCCGTCATCTTGTACCCAGCTATTGTTTAGATGAATTATCATGGCCTACGAGTCTTATGCAAAGATTTTAGATCTACGACAAACTATAAGTGCCTTGTATGTAAAGAATAATCTCATATATAGAGAGAAGTGTATATAGATGTCATTACAAAGTGGTTCTCAGGTTAGTGATTAGGGCCCTAAATGCATATTAACTCTTAACTTCTCTTAGCCAATTTCAATAGTCCATTGCTCAATTTTCCAGCCATTAGATGAGCGCCAAAACCTCCATAAGCCGAACTAGAACAATGTTAAAGGAATGTCTTACACATCACATTTAAGCACAAAGGAGGCTTTAAACATAAAGGCAGACATCCAAACTCTATTTAATGCTCTTCTATTTCTCTCCATCCACATATTCCACCAAAGACAAAATGGGGCCACCATCCGCATTATACTTAGCTACCTCCTCCTCCCCCTCCTATATAAAGACCAGCCAAGGACTTCTTTTTCCTTAATAGAATTTAGGCATATAACCAAGTGTATGCCACGTTGTCGATACCAGTTCCCACAACTGCCTAGCAGCATTACAACATAGCAACAAACAATGGGCATTCTAACCCAAATCCTTGCCTACATAACAAAACGCACCTTTTTGCTTTTTCCTTGGATGATAGCCAGCTGCATTCTATGCAAAGACAGCCACTTTAAGTGTCACCAGTTAGAGCTCTATACAAGATTATATGCATTACCAGGCCAGAGGCTTGAGCTCTAATCAAGTTTTGACCCAATATAGTCCATTCAAATTTAACTCCCATTACATTTTATCACGCATCTCCCACTTGGCATTCAGAAGATGAAGCCTCTCAAAGAAATGGTTAGCAGAGTCTACCTCCCAGTCACATACATATGTTCTAAGCAGAGGTTCCCATGCAAACCCAAAAGGGAAAAGTAGTAAAAACTGATGTCGCCATAAGAAAATTTAACACTGCACAGTAGTCTTCTCAAAATGTCACACTCATCCCTTCCCTGACTTAATCTCAAAATTTTGGGAAAAGAACCCCAAAATTGGAAAATGGATTCCATATTCCATCAGCTAGGGTTCTGTACAGACTTCCATCCAATTATGGAAACCTATATTTACACTCGATTAACTTTATTCAAGTTCAAAAACTATATTTACATTAATTATCTATCTCCAAATAAACCCTCTGTCCCGATTCAAGAGATCTTGCTTGATTTTTCAAGGGAACAAAATCTTCTTCCCAAACAATTAACATTGAAACATGTTTTTCATATTATAAGTTTCCAAAAAAGTAGGAGTCCAAGCCTGATTGCAACATTACATTCGGTTCACCACTGCATTGAATGCAACTAGATCCGGTGCATCCACAATTATAACTATAAGTTTATACAAATAACAATGCAACATACAAATTACTTCTAACCTAAAATCCAAGTTTAAGAAACAGTAATCTTTGTAGATTTGTACTCAGGAAAAGGTAGGTTCAAATAAAATAGTCAAAAGGGGGGCTAATAGCATGAAGTGGAAGGAGTATTATATTTTGCACAAGTCATAAGCTTAGAAAGCATATCGAAGAAGTCAACCTTGTTCTATTACTATATTTGCGTAATCTCAAACAGAGTTGAATGAAAAAATTTGAAGTTTTTACATTGCATAATGCAGTGTTATCAAGAAATATACCGATGTGCTTTGGCAGCACGAAATTGCAAACATAGAATAGAACTCATGAACGTTCGATACAAATTTCAAGATAACTAATACTGGTTCTGAGGATGTGGTTCCAATGCTGATGCCTAATGCATACCATTACATCATGAATTATGTATATGTGCCACCATCACAAGGCAAACTTACACTTGAGCACTAATATAGCACAATGGCACTAAAATCCTAACCCAACACTACAACTTAATCAAGCACTAGTTCAGCACAATATAACAAGGGCTTGTGTGATCTAAAAAGTACTTTTCTATACAACATCATTGTAGAATTTGACACCACATACACTACAAGGCTACCAAACTCAAGCAGTCATTGAATGCTAATGCCACCCAATATCACATGCCTTCGATTAGAAAAATTAGTGTACTGAAACTTCATACAGTATTCAGTCCAAATTCTAAAGTTATATTATTTGTAAGGGCAAAAGCACTGACCTTTGGAAGATATGAGAAGATGCCCACTCTTGAAAATCTATACAAATCAACAAAAGTTCCAAAATTACACAGATTGAAAACAAACCAACAGTATAAGCAATAAAATTAGAGTCGCAATAATTTTAGAAACTGAAAGGGGCAAAAATTCAAAATAAATTCAGTTACAAGTTTTCAAGTTTCTAAAATGCTTTGACTTCCATTGATACAGCATCTTCTTCTCTATTTTCTTCCCACTTAGATTTAAAATCAAAGAATAAAAAATAAAAATCGGCAGAGAAAGAACCAGTAAGGACAACGAGTTTACCGTATTTGAATTGCCAATGCGAGGGCGTTCAAAGGTGGCAACAGAAGCCGACATTTTTCTCTGCTTTATAGCAATCAAATTAACATATCAACTCAGAATCAGGGACTGAGTCCGCTCCCAATACAAAACAAACTCAGGCAAAGGAATCAATAAGGATCTGCAAGATAGAAATGGATTACCTACAATATACGGGATTTTTTTGTTTAATTTTTTTTTGGGTTCTGCAAAAAAAAAAAAAAAATTGAAAATTGTATAGATGAAGCAACAACAGCAACTGACCAGTGCTGCTCCTTTCACGCCCTTCTCTTGTTCTTTTGTGGGGTTGGGGTTGGGGTTGGGGTGGGGGTATTAGGTGGCATGGTAATGTCGTAGTGGTTGCAGGGGAGAGGGGATAGATATGGGTTTGGGTACTTGTATGTAATGATTTAGGGTAATGCTACGTGTACACACACTTTTACACAATATTTTACACCTCTCTTACATGGAGGAGGGTCCACGATTATTTTATTATGTGTGCGCCCTCCTCCATGTGAGGTGGGTGTAAAAAATTGTGTAAAAGATTGTGTACACTTGACATTATTCAATGATTTAAGTAACAAAAATATTATTGGTACGGGAATAATGATTTACATGAAATTATATAATATTTTACATACAAATGAATTGTCAAAAAGAGATTGCATAATATATTTTTGTTTGATTGAAAAAAATTTAGCCCTTTGTTTTAATCATTTTTTTGCCTTTTCCCTTTGGGAATTTTCAAGCAAGAATCAAGTTTGCTTTTCCCATGATGGGTCAATTTCTCTTTGTTTTTTTTTTTAATAAAGCTATCCCTACCTAGGTGTGTTTTTTTATTATTTGATGTTTAGTTGTCAAGAAATCACTTGGGATAAATTAATACTACCACTTCAAAATTTGGTGATGGCCGAGAATGGCTGTAGGAACGAATTGGTAGTAGGATAAAGTATGTTATGGTAGCTTTTATAAACAGTTTAAATTATAAATAGATAAAAGTTAGTACAAAATAAGTGAGGAACACTTGTGAATTTTAGAAAATGTGTTGATAAAAATTGATTTAACCAATTATAAACAGTACACAAGCATTGACGAACTGACAAAATTTGTTGCTAAGGATCAAAGCTACACCCAAACCAAAAAGATTAAGAATCTTGTTGTCACAATACGTTCGTCAGGATAAAGTTGCGACAAAGTCGTTAGGTCAGGGACCAACGCTCTAAATTTATCGATGAACATGGCCGATTACTGAAAATGTCACGTCACCGACCATCCGTACATATTCTTGTCTATTATTATTTTCATTCTAATATGAATCTCAACATCTTTATTTCAATGTATTAACCACACAAATATTCATATAAAAACCTCTATATATCTAGAAAATAACAACTCATGAAAATGCTTTTGAGTGTAGTAGTTATTGAAGTAGGTTAAAGTGGAAATTACTAACTATTTCGGTGGCGCATGTTATTGATGGTCCTTTAATCCCGCAATTATTTCACTATTTGATGGTGACTATGATAATAATTGTGTAAAGATCCGACCGAACCAACACTTATTTATTGATATTTAATTTACCTTTTTCTTTTCTAATACCTTGGAAAAGAAGTGAAGATAAATTTAGACTTCTAGCAAAATTTACTCATTAAGCCATTGTTTGACACACATTCTATAATAATACATTCTTTCAAAATTCATTTTCAAACATACATTTTTTAATAAAATAATATTTTCCATCACATCAATAATTTTTTCTTACTGCATATTTCTTATTACATCACTATTTAAAATACATTTTTTCCTCAATAATATTCATCAAATACAAAAATTTCTAAATTTTCTAATACCTAAATTCCTGTAAGACCTTATCCGAGCAGAAATTGTCCTCGGGGGGAAACCTTGCTTAGCCCATGTTTGATAGTCATTTTAAAAAAATAATAATGTGAATGGTGATTTTAAGAAGGACGTATGGTTAAAAAGTAGGGAAAAAATTTAAATTTACGTGCAAAATATTTTATTGTGCGAATGTGTGATTGAAAATAAGTATCTAGAAAAAAAAAAGTTCAAATAATGATTAACAAACAGGGCCTTAATCGGTCCGTAGGATGAGCACAAGATTATAATCTCATTTTCAAACTCACCTCAAGGAACTAATTTGACATAATAGGATAAAATAATTAATAATTGTTTCACATTTTGTCCGACCTTTAAAAATTTCTCTCATTAAAATCGCATAGCAAAGTAAGACAGTGTTTGATGTAGTGAAAAATCAAATTTTTAATAGATTTTGAAAAATTTTGATGAAATAAATATGTAGTTAAAAAATTATGAGTTTCACGAAATGTGTTGTTAAAATTATTTATTAACTTTGACTTGAAATTTGGCCCCCGTTTGTCTACGTTTAAAACAAGAACTCTTTACTTATCATATTTATTTTTAATTATACATTCATAAAATGAAATATTGTATACGTAAATTTAAAATATTTTTCTACTTTTTAACAACACATTTTTCAAAAAAATCATTATTCAAAACATCATTTTTTTCTCAATAATGACTATCGAACATGAGCTTAATGTACAATTTAAGCCCATGTTTGGAGGGAATCAAAATCTTAGTAATTTTTTATAAAAGTAAATTACATCTACTATTGAAAAGTGTAATATTAAATATGTAACTAAAATTAATTGTTAATTTTAAGTTTAAATTCATATCAAACGGGGCTAAGCTAAACCAAACAAGGGCTAAATGAAAGCGCGCCAAGAAACGCAAGTTTGCTAATTAGGATAAGGGGCATTTTCAAAAATGTCCACTTTTTTGGATGTCAATTGAAAAATGTTCACCATTTTGAATTTTGTACCAAATTGCCCATTATGCCCTTAATGGAAAAATGAAGCAATTTGTTTTTTTTTTTTCAACTTTTCACAAATTTCGAGAAGTAGCCCGACATTTGAACTATATTTATATTTCAAAAGTATACATGTCAAATCATAATATTAAGTGGGTGTTTGATGTGGATTAAAATTATATTTTTAGTAGATTGTGATAGGGGTAATTGGGGCAAAACGTCCCTATATTTGCACGTTTTTTGTGCATAACTTCCATACATTTTGTTTTTTAGCGCAAAACGTCTCTACCTTTCACATTCTTTGCGCAAAACGTCCTTTTGACCAATTTTTAACACAAAATGACTAATATACCCTCCTATATAAGTAAAAAAAGAAAAGAAAAATCAAGAATAAATTGCAATCCTACTCCTAAACTTTCTAAAAAATGCAAATCAATCCAAAACTTATAAAAATATTCAAAAGAAAAAATAAATCTATCTTGCCCCTTTTCAGCTGAATACATGAGCTCATTTTCTGGCAACTTCCGGCCGCCCAAACCGTTAAATATTATTCCCAACATGATCTTCTCATTACCCTCTACAACTGCATACCAAGAAATCCCGGTAACTCATTGTAATTTAGCCGGAAATCAAATTCAAAAATTGCAGCCTAAAAATGGATCAAACACCCACAACTCGCCATCCGGCCACCCAACGGTCGAAATCCACCACTGGTCGACTTCCCTCATCAAGTCGAAGCTACCTATATAAATAATTTCCTCCAAAAACCATCAATCTCAAAGCAAAGACAGTCTAGTCGTGAGTTCGCACCAGCGAGCATTTCGGACCTAGATTGAAGATAATTGGAGCCAAATTGAAGGGGACCCATGGCTGGGCTAGGTGCACCAGGTGATGGCGCACCCAGCCTAGGTTAATAGCCACCATGGGTCGTCACAACGACGCTTGAATTGGAGGAAAACTGGTGCAGTGTCGCGACAATCGCGACAGATAGCTTTCAATTTGAAATTCAGATCTTATCATTACTGTTTTGGCTAAATCGTTTGCATGGTCGAGGTCGTCCTGAGTAAGGGAGTTGGCCGGTGGTATGTTCCAGCCAGGAAGGTGGGCGGACGACGTGATTCCGACATTTGACTGCATTTCATGCAGCGAAGTTTAAAGCTCAATTCCGATCAAATCTGCCAGAGTTGGGGCTGTTGGTTGGGTGGATTGTGAAGATGGCAATGAGGGCTTCAAGGTGGTATGTTGGTCAGCGACCAAGGTGATCGGAGGTTGGAGATTTTGCCTAGGGGCTTAGGGATCATGATTTTTTCCTATTTGTGACTAATTTGTATCTTTTTAAAACTTTGAACCCATAATTGCAATTTATTCTTTATTTTTCTTTTCTTTTGTTTGTTTTATTTTAATAGAAGGGTAAAATGGTCAAAAAGAGACGAAAATGACGTTTTGCACAAGAAAAAGTAAAGGTAGGGACGTTTTGCGCCAAAAATGTGAAAGGTAGGGACGTTTTGTGCCAATTGATAGAAAATTTTGAAATGTGTGGTTGAAAAGTTGTGGGACTCATAAAAAATGTGGTTAATATTGATTTTTTGTCTTTGATTTAGATTAAAATCTGATTTTAACCAGAAACAAACAAGGCATAAATATTATTGACATTTCAAATGTTGTTCTCGACATATTAAATGTCTAGAATGACATTTCATTATGAACATGATATTTCTCTACATTTGAAATGTCGTTCTCGACATTTTTGTGTCAATGAGAAAAATTGCATTTATTGCGATTTGACAATTGTACTTTTGAAATAAATAGGTTAAAATTATGTGTCAAAATTTTATTGGTCAATAAATTTTTTAATAAAGTAGACATTTTTGTATTTATGTGGAATTAGCGGTGGCAAAAAAGCTCGAAGGCTCGGACGGCCCGGGCTCGGCTCGGAAAAAGCCCGAGCCGGGCCCGGCTCGGGCTC